CCTCGCCCTCCTCTCCATCCCGGCCCTGCTCGTCCCGGTCTCGCTCACCATCCCCATCCCCCTCCCCCCTCCTCCCCTCCCCCTCCACCATCTCCCCCCTCACCCCACTCTCCGGCAACTCCGTCCTCAACGAGCTCACCGCCGCCGCCATATTCATCGCGCTCACATAACTCATTCCGCTCCCCGGCGCCGCCCCACGATACCCCATCCCCATCCCACTCATGCCCCCCATACCCATGCCCATCGCGATGCCCAAGCTGGGATACGTAATCGCCGTGCTCCCATTCGTATACGGGTGCCGCAGCAGCGCCATCGCCGCCCCCAGCTCCAACGCCGCGTTCCCATTCCCGTTATTCCCGTTGTGATTGCCATGGGAGTCACGACCAGGCGAATCCGGCGCCGGCGACCCCTCGGCGTCGACGTCCACGTCGTCCGCGTCGTCGGGATCGTTGTCGTTGTCGGGGTCGGCGTCCTCGCCGCGGTGGACCTTGATGTGCTGGAGGAGGTTGTCGTGGCGGTTGAAGAATTTGTGGCAGGAGGGGAAGGTGCAGGGGAACGCTAGGAAGGAAGAGAGGGTGGTTAGCGGGTGTTTGATAAGAGGAGGGAGGGAGGGAGGGAGGAGAGAGTAGATGTGAAGGAAGGAGAGGGATAATATAATAGTAGCAATTCAAGATAGACGGGGAACGATAATGGGAAACGATGCACGGGCGCCTTTGCTCGCGGATAAAGCGTATTAATCCGAGAGGCCGGAAAGCACCACGCCGAAGATCGCAGGGCGTCTCCTTGAGACGAACTGACGACCTGTATCAACTCCACGAAGGCAAACACTCGACGGCGATTCCCGACTCGATTCGGTCAAGGTAAGCCGGACACTCATCGCCTCGCCTCGAGTGCCACAGCGATACGGGCGGTGGAGAAAGAGGGGGAAAAACGAGCTGATCGCGCGTACGCGGCAGAGCGGGAAAGAGAAATAACTAATCCTTTGAGGCGAATCGATCCCGGATGCCTTTGGAACGAGACAAAAGACGAGGGCCGCAGCCCCCCGAAAACTACCCATCGTCGTAGACATGAGATGCATGGGGCTGCAGCTGCAGCTCATCGATGGTCGGCCAAAGCCCAGTGCAAGATGAAGGCAAGGTAAGAGACGCGAGGTCCGCATCCTCCTCCCGTCCGCATCCTTGACAAAGGTGAAGGTAAGTACGGGATACGCAGGCACATCGCTTCGCCGCGTGGTTAGCCCACACCCAACGAAGACAAAAGGCAGCCCGCCCGCTCGAGCACGACAAGACTCCCTCCCTGGGAAGGGAATCGTCGGCAGAGCCCCCTGGTGAAAAGCGCGCGCGTACTCGACGGCGTAGAGGGCCCCCGGCTCCAAGGACAGAGACGGCTCGAGGGGATCGTTTGTCGTAGAGCGCCCGAATCCTCGATGAAATCCTCGCCCGAGTCCCACCGCCCCACCGCCAGCAACGCAAAGCAGAGATGAAAGGCAAACGGGCTCCTCCCCTCTCCTCCACCGAGCCTCTCCTTCCCCCTCCTCCACCGCGCCCGCACCTCCCCCCCCCCCCCCCCCCCCCCCCCCTCCATCCTCGTCGCGAGCTCACAGCCGTCCACGCGCCTCTGTGCGCCCACCGAACGCGAAAAGCAAGACGGCCTCCTCTCCCCTCCTCGAGTCGCGCGATGCCCACCCGATGCGTTCGTTATTCACACCCGGCAGTAGTACAAACGCACTGCGACGACGATCTATCCACCCCGCAGAAAAGAGAACGACGCAGCCCCACTGCCCACCCGATGCACATACATACAAGCGAGATGGGATGAGATGGGATTGGGATGAGATGAGATGCCCGTGAGGAAGGAAGGGAAACGTCACCGAGGTCAACCTCAGCTGCGGTGACCCCGGAGACGAGACGGTGCCTCCACACCCGCGAGACGAGACGAGACGAGACGGGGGAGAAGACGTGCGACGTGCGACGGGCTACGGGCTACGCTACGAGTCGGGGGAGACACGAACGAGAGGGCAGCCTGACGGTGCCCACCCACACATACGAGCGAGATGAGATGAGATCCCCGTGTAAGGACGAGCACCCGAATCCGATCCCCGCGAGTGCGACACGCACGCACACGCACAGCCAACAGCCGCGAGACGAGACGAGACGAGACGAGTCGGGGGGAGGGCAGCCCGATTGCGAGAGATGCCACAGACAAGAGCTAGGAAGAGCCGTCGACGCAGAGGAGAGAGTCTCCTTGAGAGACGAGAGGCGAGAGGCGATTCGACAACGATGCGCGGGCCGAGTCGGGCACGCGTAGACGGAAGGAAGCTCCCAACACAACACAAGCGAGATCGCGTTTAAGGACGACTCCTTCCCGCGAGTGCGAGTGAGACACGCATAGCCAACACGCACACCCATACGCACGCACACGCACACGCCACCCGCGAGACGAGACGAGGAGAAGACGCGCGACGTGCGAGACGAGACGGGGGAGAACGCGCGACGTGCGACGCGCTGCCCTCCCGTTCGTGGGGAGAGATTGCGAGAGAGTGCGAGAGAGCAAGAAGAGCGAGGCAGAGGGGTGACGTCTCCTTGAGAGGCGAGAGACGATTCGACAACGACGCGCGGGTCGAAGCGAATCGAGCAGCGCGTAGACGGAAAGAAGCTCGCCCACGGGGGCGGTATGCATGCATATCGACGCAAAGCACGGGAGCGGTCACAAGACGAAGACAAGCTCGACGAAAACACAAAATCGGAAGAAAAGAACGAATGAAAACAATGAAACGACGACTCACGTTTCTCGTGCGTGTGTATACTCCGTATATGCCTTTTCAGATGCTCCCCGCGGTGGAAACACTTGCCGCACCCCTCGACTTTGCAGACGTGCATCCGCCTGCTCACGTCTGCGCCGCCCGCATCTGCACCAGGGGCACTCGGACCGGGCGCAGGCGCAGGCGTAGCGGGCGCAGCAGCGTCGGGGGCAGCAACAGGCGCCGCACCAGGCGCAGCACCGGCCAGCGCCGCGACGACCGGCACCCTCCGCCCACGACTCTTCTTGATCAAATTCGGCACGGGCACAGGCAAATTCGTGCGCGTCCTCGGCGCGCGCGTCCCACCACTCCCATCCCCGGGGTAGGCGTACGACGCGGCCGACGCGGGGACGAAGATCGCTTGCGTGCTGTTCAGTGGCGGGATCGGCACCGCCACGCCTCCTGAATGCGACTCAGGGGCTCTGTAGTAGTTGTTGTTCGGGGCAGGTGGCGCGGGCGGCGGCGCAGGCGGGTGGGCATCCAATTCGTCGTCCTCGGACTCTGCCTCCTCGCGGGTGCGTTTGCGCGGATTCGCAGAGGCGGCGGCGGCGGTCTTTGGCTTTTTGCGCGCCTTGGGCGCCTCGTACCAGCTATCGTCGCGCGCGCGGGGTTTGCTCGCGCGGCCCGTCAGTGAGCGCGTGAGGGGGCGCCCGGGGGGCTTGGCGGTTGTTGTGTCGTCGGTGGGGCTGGTGTCGGGGGCGGGTACGGAAGTGTCGTCCTTCTTTTCGGTGGTGTCCTGCAAAATCCGATGAGATGATATAAAATCGTACGCGTAAGGGGGGGACCCACCAGCGTCGCTACGCCTTCTGGTTGAGTATTCTCGCTCTCCGATACGTCCATCGTGGCTATGTTGCGCGCAGGGAGGACACACGAGACACAAACGAGGGCACAGGGGTGCTTTGTCACTGGGTCCTTTCGCGCCCTTTCAGCGCAAGAAAAGTGCTTGTACCTGGCAAGGGGTGGACTGAGAGTGGGTTGTGGGTGCGGGGGAGGACTTGTGAGGGCAGGGACGGGGGGAGGAGGAAGGGAGGAATTGACCCCTGACTGGGTGTACAACGCTCGGAAGCTAATTTTTCGCACAGCCACGTGGTGATGCACTGCCACACGGCCGCCTCGATCTGCCTCCGTCTCAATGAATTCGGGGTTTGTTCAGGCGGCTACGTTGGGGCGGGATTTGCTCTGGCGACAGCGCCGGCGGGAGGGTGTCATTTAAATTTTTCAAGGAGAACTCAAGTTTTCAAGTTTTCAAGAATCCTGTCTAGGGTCTTTTCGGGAACCAATCGGGAACCAAGACTCTGAGTCGCCGAGACGACGCCGTCAACATCCTTCAAACAAACTGGATGTCCAGCCCTTGCCTTTCGTCGTCCTTCAAAAACCCACAAAACACTACAGACGTCCTCAACCTATCTGCGCAGTGCTGAACTCGAAACACTCATTCATTTGACGCCACCGACAAACATCGGGCCCGGGCATCGGCGACACGATTAACGTTACGAACGGCCGCTGCAAGTGCCGGAGAATATATATGCGGGTCGACAGGTCGATTTCTATGTTGCCATCCTTACCCAATACCCCCGTCTTCATAAACATCCGTCGACCTCGGAGTCCTCCAGGCTCCAGCAACACTGGCATTTCAATTCGTTAACTATCTACAAGCGCGCGCGTCGCAGGCATTCTCGCGTCATCCTGTACTGTACCCTAATCGCGTAAAGAACGCCTGGGATCCCGCGAACACCCACCAAACCGTGGATCATCGGAGTGGAAGCGCCCACAGTCGCCACAGTCTGAGTCCCAGTCCTAGGCCTTCCCACCCAGCCGCGGACGTACCGAGTCTGAACTTACTTTACTCGAGTACTCTCCTCCCCCTCAGTCTGTCTGCCCTCGCGCTTCCGCTTCCACTTCCCCTTCTCGACTTCCAGAACCGGAACCGGAATCGGATGACGCGGATAGATCGCCTTCAACTTACCTTGCCTTCAACCTTCAGCCTTCAACCTCGACCCTTCCTTCAACCCTTACCCTCTCTTTCTTGGTCTTCGATTCAAATTCTACGCTACACTACCCACACCTGGCCTTCAAACTCCCAAGGAGGCCATTCAACATGAACCTTTTTCTTTTTCTTTTTCTTTTTATCCCACACCAGTGCACCAACTGTTCGCTCAAATTGAGTACTACTTTGCCAACCAAAGAATAGGTATGAAAACACCTGATGGCACATGGTGTGCACTTGCTGCCTGTTCGGAGTTGTAGAGCACTTGTTATGCAAGAGGTCCTCGTTCGATTCGAGGTCGGGTGATAAGTATGCTTGCCCGATGTCTTCAACTTTTTTGGCCGAGTCAACAGGATTTTATTCTAGCTGTAGATTGGAGTGTAGATTAAGCCAGTCCCTCCACCTTCGACGGTACACTTGCGCAGAGCCCACTCAGTTTCTCAAAACAAAGTAATGTTCCAACACCGATTGTAGACTCAGAACAAAGTCAATTTAAGTACACTTCACCAACGAAGGAATAGGTATGTGGACACCCGATAGCACATGGTGTGCACTTGCTACCTGTTCAGGATTTCCTGGAAAATTTGGTATGCGAGAGTCCCTCGTTCGATTCGGGGTCGGGTGATTCGTCGTCGAGGCTTTCTTTTTTACAACAGGATTTTATTTGATGTTGATGTTAAAGCCAACATGCTCAAGAGTACACTTGCGCAGTTCTTTTGACAAAAAAGGAAATACCTTCCAGCACCGATTGTTCGCTGAGAATGAATTGATACAGTCAAGCTAAGCATCACCTCACCAACAAAAGAATAGGTGTAGGAACACCCGATAGCACATGCTGTGCCCTTGCCCACTGTTAGCGAGTGTGTATGTAAGATTGGTATGCAAGAGGTCCTCGTTCAATTCGGGGTCGGGTGATACACCTGTGGTCAATTGGTTTTTCTGAACCAAGAGAACTTTTATTTAGATTGGAATTGAGACTGAACCAGTCCATCCACTTTCAACGGTACACTTGGGCGAAGCCTGGCCAGCCAATGTGTCAACCCTTTTCTCTTACAAGCGAGGCTGATTGTTCATTCAGAATAAAGGTAGGTCAAATCGAGCATCACATCCCCAACAAAGGAACAGGTGTAGGAACACCCGGTAGCACATGGTGTGCACTGTCTACCTGTAATGCGGTTTTGAGCATGGTGTTATGCAAGAGGTCCTCGTTTCGATTCGGGGTCGGGTGATTGGCATTTCGCACATCGACTTTTTTTTTTTTTTTTTCAAAGTCAACAGGTTTTTATTTTACCATTGAAGTCAAAGATTCAAGATAGATTGAACCAGTCCATCCACCTTTGACAGTGTGCTTAGAGGAACCCGGGGCAGTCAATGTGTCAACTCTTTCTTTTTATCCTACACCAACTATCCACCCAGAACAAAGTGGAATTAAGCATTACCATACCAACAACAAAGGAAGAGGTGTATGAACACCCGATGGCACATGGTGTGCACTTGCTAACTGTTCTCCCCTTCATACAAGAACTGTTATGCGAGAGCTCCCCGTTCGATTCGGGGTCGGGTGATAATCCGTGTCCAATTGACTTTTTTTTCTTTTCAGTCAACAGAATCTTGATTCAGTTTCTCAAAATAATGTTCCAACACCAGTTATCCACTCCGAACAACGTCGAATTGAGTATTACCTTACCATCAAAGAAACAGATAAAAACACCTGATAGCACATGGTGTGTGCTTGCTACCTGTAACAATGTTTCGCAAAGGAGTTACGCAGGAGGTCCCTGTTCGATTCGGGGTTGGGTAATTCAGCTTCCGCTGGGACTTTTTCTTCTTTTTGCCCGACACAGCAAGAATTTATTCTAGTAGACTGGAGTATCATGTTCCCAACGAAAAGAACAGGTATGTGAACACCCGATAGCACACGGTGTGCCCCTGCCTACAATTGTTTATTTCGATGAAGAATTGTTATGCAGGAGGTCCCCGTTCGATTCGAGGTCGGGTGATACGTCCGTGTTCAAGAATTGTTTTTTTCCAACCCCCCCAAAAAAAGTTAACATGATCTTCATTCGAGGTTGCATCAGATTGAATCAGTACCAGCTGCAGTACATACACCGTCGATGGCAAGCCTGAGCTGAACTTTTCTTTCCAACACCAGCTGTCCACTCAAAATGAAGTCAAGTTTCAGTTCCATGTTCCCAACAAAGGAATAGGTATAAAACACCCGATAGCACACGGTGTGCACCTGCTACCTATAATGAGGTTTTCGAGCAGGGTGTTATGCAAGAGTTGACCGTTCGATTTGGGGTCGGGTGATGAGCCCTTGGTACTTGTCATCGACTTTTTGCCCAAGTCCACGGGATCTTTATTCCAATCACAGATTGGTGTATACGTAGATTGAAGCAATCCAGCTGTCTTCAATGGCATACAGATGTTTTCAACACCAACTATCCACTCTGAACGAAGTCAAATTGAGCATCACCTTACCAACAAAGGAACAGGTATGAAAACACCTGATAGCACATGGTGTGCACTTGCTAGCTGTTGGTTTTCAGTCAAGGTTATGCAAGAGTCCCTCGTTCAATTCGAGGTTGGGTGATTCTGCTATGGTCATGTTGATTTTTTAATAATAAAAAAGTCAACACAATCTTTATTTCGAAGGTGCATAGGATTGCATCAGTACCAGTCTGTGTACCTAAGACCTTCAATTTTCCACTTCTTTTTTTCTTTCTCAACACTGATTGTTGACTCTGAATGAGGTCAAATTGAGTAGCACCTTACCAACAAAGGAACAGGTATGAAAACACCCGACAGCACATGGTGTGCCCTTGCTACCTGTTAGCTGAAGGATTTCAGGATTGGTATGCGAGAGTTGCCCGTTCGATTCGGGCTGGGGTAATTCGGAGGTCATCGTCGATGTTTTGCCCGAGTCAACAGGATCTTTATTTCGGTTGAAATCCAGCTTAGAGTCATCCAAGCTGGATACGCTCAGGTATCAACACCAACTTTTTTCATTTAACACTGGTTGTTCACTCAGAATGAATTGATCAAGTCAAATCGAGGACCACTTACCAACAAAGGAACAGGTATGAACACCCGATAGCACATGGTGTGCCCCTGCTACCTGTTCTTTATTGTAAGAATGTTATGCAGGAGGTCCTCGTTCGATTCGGGGTCGGGTGATTTGTCTTCGAAGATGCTATTTTTTGCCCGACCCAAGAGGATTTTAGTCTAAGGAACTCGAGTATCATGTTCCCAACAAAGGAACAAAGGAAACAGGTATAGGAACACCTGATAGCACATGGTGTGCGCTTGCTACCTGTAATGGGGTTTCAACGAGGAATTGGTATGCAAGAGGCCCTCGTTCGATTCGGGGTCAGGTGATGATCCTGGTGTTCATTATTTTTGCTAAATCAAGAGGATTTTATTTTATGTTGAAATTGACCAGTAGATTGAACCAGTCCCTTCACTCTTGACTGTACACTTGAACAAAGCCCATCCAGTTTCTCCCACCACAGATAATGTTCTAACACCTGATTGTTCACTCAGAATGAATTGACGAAGTCAAGTCAATTCTCACCTTGCCAACAAAGAAACAGGTATGAAAACACCCAATAGCACATGGTGTGTACTTGCTCACTGTGAGTCAGGAGCCACTTCACAATTGGTAGGCAGGAGGTCCTTGTTCGATTCGAGGTCGGGTGATTCAAAGGCTAATGTTACCATCATTTTTGCCTCTCAGAAAGCCAAATCGAGTACCACTTTATCATCAAAGGAACAGGTATTAACACCCGATAGCACATGGTGTGCCCTTGCTTACTATTAGCTGGAGGATTTCAACAATTAATATGGGAGAGTCCCTCGTTCGATTCGGGGTCGGGTGATTCATCGCAGACCTTTTTTTTTCAACCGGATTTTATTTTGAGGGGGCATCAAATTGAATCGACAAGTCCATACACTTTCGACGGTGCACTTGAACAAACCCCATTCGCTTCTCAAAACAGAAATAATGTGCCAACACCAATGAATTGAGTAAAACCTAAGCAACAAAGAAACAGATATGAAAACACGATAGCACATGGTGTGCCCTTGCACATGCTAGCTGGAGGACGTAAGAATTGGTATGCAAGAGGTCCTCGTTCGATTCGAGGTCGGGTGATTTAGGGCTGCCTCATCAGCAATTTTTTTGCCCGACACAACGAGATTTTACTCCAGTGGACCGGAGTATCACATTGCCAACAAAGGGATAGGTATGAAACCACCCGATAGCACATGGTGTGTGCTTGCTACCTGTTACGATTGTTACGATTGTTGGTATGCGAGAGTTGCCCGTTCGATTCGGGGTCGGGTGATGAGCCCTTGGGTCGATATTGTTTTTTTTGTCTGAGTCAATGGGACTTTCATCCCAGCCATAAACTGAAGTGCGGAGTGAAACAGTTACCAGTCAATCCACCCTCGACGGTGCACTTGAACAAAGCCCACCCAGTTTCTCAAAAACAAAAATAATTATAATGTTCCAACACCAACTATCCCCTCAGAATAAGTCAAATTGAGCATCACCTTACCAACAAAGAAACAGGTATGAAAACATCTGATAGCACATGGTGTGCCCTGGCTTACAATTCTTGATTTGAAATTGTTCTGCCGGTGTTCCTCATTCGATTCGGGGTCAAGTGATTCATCTGCTGTCATCAGCCTTTTACTTGAGTGAACGGGATTTTATTCTAGTAAACTGGAGTGTCATGTTCCCAACAAGGAACAGGTGTAGGAACATCCGATAAGGGCCGGGATTACCGTGATGCCCCTATTTATGAGGGAATAGGATTGCGAGGGAGGGTAGAGAAAAGACAGAGAGGTTAGTGAAAGAAGACAGGCAGGGACCCGTGCAGGAGGGAGAGATTTCAGAGTGGTATCAATAGTGGGGCTTGTTGTGAGATGGAAGTAGGCCATTTGGGGTGGTCCTTGACCTGCCATGGTATAGAAACCAAATAAACCCGTACTGTATTTGATTATTAGCAAGCCGTATGCAAGGGGGCGCGGGGGTCAAAAAACGAAGGACGATGCTGGGGTGGGTGTGTGCCCGAGATCTGGCGTATTCAAAATTTTATTCCTATCAAAAGAAATTGTTCCGTGCATTTTCGGGCAAGTTTCTCCACAGTTGAGCATGTCAAAGCGTGTCAAAGCGTGTCAAAAGCACCTATGGTGTGTTCATTGAACAATGCAAGCTCATAATTGTTTTTTATGGGTAGTTGGTGGCTTTCAGAACCTCACACCAAAAAATTGTTTTCTAGTGTAAGGTGGCAGCATCCTGAGTATACAAGAGCATAAACCAACCTTCCTTCCGAAATTCATAATGTCCCACTCCAAATCTAACTTAACTTACCACCCTCCAAAATGATCGGGCTGATACTTTGGCATTTATACTTTATACGCCGCCCCGACACTTTGCACAGCATCCTGTCTACACATTGCAGGCCTTCCGTGGCCCATTGTGGTTGATTGCCACAAACAGAGATGCATTCCGACACCGATTGGATAAACTTCACGGGGAAGAGTGTATTTTGATGGGGCAGATGGGGCAGAAGAGCGTGGGAAATATCAATGTGGGAGGTGGATATGGGAAGCGGAAAATCATGGAACAAGAAATAAAATATTGGGGGGTAGAGAGGTGGTTACCCAAAATCAGCGGAATGTGAAAAAATGGGGCTATGTCCTCTGAAAAAAAAAAAATGTGCCCCCTTGGCCATGCATCTCACCTTTTTCTTTTGAGTCTTTCTTGGCAATGTCCCCAAGTCGAATGATACACTCTGCCCTGCTACAGTGAACATCCATATAGGTAAATCCGTCCAAGGCGACAGTGAACAGGCTAACAGGGCTGACTTCATCGTTCTGCATGAGGTGGACGTCTCCAATGAATTGCAAAGCCTTGTAAATTCCGAGCTTCTCCTTTGCCCTAAGAGAGTGTGCAAGTAGGATTATACTCCATGAGGGATTATGGTGTGGGCTCCAGTGAGTGACATCTGCCAGTCTCTCCAGACAGTAACTTACAACCTCTGAAAGCTGTCCCAACCCAGCTTTGAGACATTTGCAAAACAGGGAGCATGACATATCTCCTTCTCTGAGATTCAGATCAGCTTGAATCATATCACAGCCAGTCAGCATCATTATTTGTCCTCCAATTTTGTTGAAAATGGTTTGTGATGCATATATTTTCTCCTGGATCACCTCACATGAAACTCCCATGTGGACCTCAGCTGCAGCAATATTTTTCAAGGAAAGAGCTTTAGTATGTAGTGTTCCCCCCCTATAGGTCTGAAGGAGTTGTGTGTGCAGGGTACAAGCATAGGCATACTCTGATTTGTATGCATGAACTTCTGCCTGGCAATTCGTCAGGGTATAATTCATATCCCCCTGGGACAGACCACACAGCTCTAGGAGAGCACTGGCCCTTTTGACAAGAAAGATGCATTCACAATAATCACCCAACATTTGGTAGCACATAGCCTCAGTGAATAGTCCGTGTGCCTCTCTTTGTAAATCCCCAGACCTCTTTGCAAGTCTCTGTGCCTCCTGTGCATCGGCCTGGGCAGCGACATAGTCACCAGTTTGCCATTTAATCCATGAGAGCCGATATAAGGCTGCAGATTGTCCTCTGATGTTTCAATGTGCTAAGGAGAGGCCCATTTGACAATACTTTAGAGCTGCGGGAATATCAAGTGCTGAGTAATAGTGGGCTAAATTAGTGTAAAAGGTGGCTACGGTATCATTGTCAGTACCCATCATGGTTAAACAGAGAAAGTGAACATAACTTCCAAATTAGGATCATCCAAAGTCTTCAACCACTCAAAAGTCTGATTGATTAGTGTTTTAGGCTGGCAGATTGCATGAGAGTGTCGGGCACCAAATAAGCTAGCAGTGAAAGACACTTTTGTCCAATGATCCTCCGAGTGTGGGAGGAGGGTGATTACCTTGTCCACCAGAGGTATTGTCTGTCTGCCAGCATTTACATTGAACAGGAGGAAATGAGATGTGCAGGAGATGCTATTTGCTAGATTGGGATGCCCCAGGTATAGTGCGTTTTGGATAATGTTCGGAATATTTGTGTAATTTGAAGTCAGTCGATCAACATAGAGGGCTGATGACTGTTTCCCCCTATCAGCTGCATATGCTTGCAGGAGCTCCTGGAAGTGTTTGAAGAGTGGTCCGATCATTTCATCTGTTGGTGGCCGGAATTTGGCCATGTATTCTCTGATTGGTACCAGAGCCTTGAGCCGCTTGCAGTCATCAAGGTAAGCTAGAGCAGTGTAAAGCAGGGCCCTTTTACAACCAAGGATATCCTGAATTGCAAATTTGGTTTGCTTCAGTTCTACATCTGAGAGTTCATCTGGAAGGATCGACAAGAGACTCAGAAGTTCCTGGGAGTGAGGTGTGGATGTGATTCTAGGACTTTGAAGTGAAAGTGAGATGGATATCTCGAGATTGGACCTACAGTCATAACCCTCTGAGATGACTGAGGTTTGCTCCCTCTGCCAGTGTGACAAGATTGCAGTGCAGCCCTCCACATCCACTGCATGAGCAAGAAGGTTGATTGAAAGTGGCATATTGTCTGTAAGGCTCAAGACTTGATCAATTTCGGCCATTGGGTGTCTATCTTCTGCGATATCAATAAACACCTTGCGTGCAGCCTCTTGCGCCAAGGGCTCCAGAGGGGGCAGGAATGGCTGTGTCCATTGCACTTTGGAGGGTCTTTCTGCTCCTCGCATTGTAATCTTGGACTTCATCAGCAAAACAAGTACACAAGAAGAAATGAAAATAAACGCCCATTAACACAAGACTGGCTATATCTGTGAGCAGGGAGAGGAGTTCCTCAATCTCTTTGCGGGATTCTACTGGCTCCCAAGCAGTCTCAAGGTTGTCAAGAATCAGCAAAGTTGTTGAACCCTCTGAAAGGCGGTGGAGAACTGCTCGAGTGAGGTCTTGACCAGCCTTCAATCCAAGATGGGCCCCAATGAGACCTGCAAGTTCCACCTGCAAGTTCCACCTTGCTTGCTGCAGTGTCACAAGCAACAAACACCTGATTTCCCTGGTCTTTGATAACAATTTCTTCATGATGTAAGACAGCTTGTGCCAAACTGGTCTTTCCCATGCCACCAGCACCTAGAATGGCTATCCTCAGAGTGCTTTGTTCAAAATGTTTGAGGATATCAGCTAGCTCTGATTCACGGCCATGGAATATTTTGGGTTCTGCTGGCAGCATTGAGATGGAGTTGGAGCTATGATATCCATGAGCATTGACACAAAAGGACCAAAGTTATTCTGTTATTATCACACTTATCAACAAATATCCTCACATACAAATGATGCTGAATCTGAACTGGATATCGTCTCAATTGCATTGAGCACCTCATGATGTCTGATCTGGGCCTGTTCTTCCATTTCTCTGGCAGTGGACAGGATATCTAAGGATTTAATCTGCTAACCAGCTTGAGTGGATGTGTCAATCTGCTTGGATGTGCAAAGTGTTCACCTGAAAGAACTTGATTCCCTCTTGCAATCCCATCTTGCAATCCTTTAGCAGCCCACCCAATTCCCCCTGTCGGAAGAACTTCTTGACTTTACTGCCACTTTGCTGGGCCTCAATAAATGCATGAACCTTGTGGAGGGTCCTAAATGTGTTGTGTGAGCCATGTGCATGTGTATGGGAGAGTGGAGGGTCACTGAGTGAAATTTGCAATTTCATTCAATGTGCTGGGTGGTAGTTCAATACCCGTGTCTGACCTGACATAGACACCAATGATTGCATTGAGGATGTTGTGAGTCTGCTCCATCAGCTCAGCACATTCATTTTTGTCTTGTTTGATAGTCTAGGGCACCATCTCAGAGCCATGCTGGTGAATTCATTTTGGGAATATACCTGAACCAATTTCAAAAGTGACTGTGTGGTATTCACCATGGCTTCCAGCCCATGAATCTTCAAGGTGTTGACTAGGACATCGAGTGTGTTGACCGTGATGGTAACACATTTTGAGATATTGTCCAAGCGGACTTCAGTGACAGTTTGTTGACGGGGCATGCAGGGAAAGGGGCATCTCAGTTAGAACTCTTCCAGCCTTATATGTCAAGGGCCTTGGGAACTTTTGCTCTCATTGGATACTGTTCATCTCTTCTTCTGCCATACAGATTTGATGGTCCATCCAAATACATCTATATCTGTCTTTGATATTCCACCATATTCTCCAAAAATATGCAGTGCACTCTAGGCATGGGGCAAATGGTGCAACCTATGTACTTGTCAGTGTATTATTTGTTCATATCATCTACAACTCCTCTTTGCTCAGCCACCTCAACACCA